TGCGCGGACGGGGGGCGGGGGGGGGGTTGGTGCGTTTGGGCCTGGGTGAAACTGGAGGTTTGCTGGCCCGCTTGGCAGAGGGACTCTTGCCCCACCCCGCGCCTGGTGCCACGCCCTGGTGATGCCGCCTGCGCATCTGGATCAGGATCGCCCCATCCCATGCACTCAGCGCCCCGACTCAGACCCCCCCTCCACCACCCCCAAACAAAACAGGTACGCGGTGTCGTACAAGACGCTGTTCCTGAGCAACCTCAAGCGCACGCTGCTGCTGCAGACGCGCGACAAGCTGTTCGTGTACGTGCGCGTCTTCCAGATCTGCCTGATGAGCGTGGTGGTGGCCACGCTCTTCCTCAGCACGCCCAAGACGACGGTGTCGGATGGCAACATCTACTCTGGCGCTGCCTTCTTCTCCCTGGTCTACATGCTGATCGGGGGACTGGCCGAGTCCCACCTCCTCACCATGCGCCTGCCGGTGTTCTACAAGCAGCGCGAGATGATGTTCTACCCGGGCTGGTGCTTCGCCGTCCCCGCCTTCATCTTCCGCCTCCCCTTCTGCTTCGTGGACGCCACCCTCTGGTCCTGCATCGCCTACTTTGCCGTCGGCTTTGACGTCAGCTCCAGGTGCGTGGGGGGTGCACCCTGGAGACCAGGGGGGGTGGGGAGTGTCTGTCACTCCCGGCCAGTACCTGTGACGGGTCGCTGCCGCGCTCCGTGGGCGCCCAGCCGGGGGGTGTGTGGAGGGAGTGGGGGGCATGGGAAAGGTCAGGGCTGGACTGCGTACATGCCTCCATCCGCTCGTGCCCGCTCCCCCACCCCCCCTTCGTTCCCCTCTTCTGTTTGCACCAAGGAACACCTCACAAACCACACGCAGGTTCTTCGTCTTCTGGCTGCTCATGTTCCTCACCTGCGCATGGTGGGTGTTGACCCTGCGGTGGTTGGGCGGGGGTGCCACCCTCATGCCCTGGCCCCGACGAGGCTCGCACCTCCTGCAATGGAGTGCAGCTCAGCCGCCAGCGCACACCTGCTTCTGCCCGGCTCCTGTCCCCATGAGCAAGTGCATTCGCCCCGTCCCCACCTCCCCTGCTGACGCCCCATCCTCATTTTAATACCTCCGACCCCCTTCCTTTCATAACTCCGTCCGCCCCCCCCCCCCCACCGGGCCACATCCCTGTTCCAGGCCATCGCCTCGGTGTGCCGCACCGACACCATCGCCTCAGCGGTGGGCTCCTTCTTCCTCCTCGTGTTCATCGTCACCGGCGGCTTCGTCATGGTCAAGTCCGCAATCCCCCCCTGGTGGATTGGCGCGTACTGGGCCAACCCCTGGGCCTACCTCACCATGTCCATCTCCATCAACGAGTTCATGGGCGCGTCATGGGACGTGCCCAACCCCGCCGACCCCACGAACCCCCTGTCCCTGGGCGAGCAGGTGCTCGCCTTCCGCGACTTCCCCACCTCCACGCGCATGGTCTGGATTGGCGTCGCCGCGGGGCTGGCCTCCACCATCATCAACGTCGCGGTGTTCGTGCTGGCCACCACCTTCATGCCCCCGCGCCACTCCAAGCCGGTGATGAGCGAGGAGGCGCTGGAGGAGCTGGAGTTTGCGCGCGAGGTCGCGCCGCAGCGCCCGCCCCCCAGCTCGGTCACCCGCGACATCCAGCTGGGCATCCGGCGCGCCGCCTCGACGCAGAGCATGGCCGCCAGCGCGGAGGAGGGCGGCGCGGGGCCGCGCACGCCGGGCATGACGCCCGTGCCCTCCGCGCTGGACCTGCCCGCCGTGCCGGAGGACGTCTCCTTCACCATGGCCGCCGGCGACAGGCCCGTGGGCGGCCGCGCGGCGCCAGGCAATGGCCGCCGGTCGCCGACCGACGGCGCCGACGCGCGCCACTCCTCGCCGGGGAACGGCACCGACGGGCACCACTCGCCAGCGGTCAACGGTGCCAATGGTCGCCCCGCCTCCCCGACCGACTCGTCGCTGGCCTTCATGAAGGGTGGCGAGGGCGCGGCCAAGGCCCTGGAGTCGGTGCGCTCCTCCCTGCCCTTCCGCCCGCTGGCCATGACCTTCAAGGACGTGTCCTACAGCGTGCCCCTGCCCAAGGTGACCTGGGTTTGGGTGTGTGGTGCATTGTCTTATCTTTTTGTGTGTGGGGGGGGGGGCTTGTTGGGAGAGTGTGGTCGAGTGGAAGCTGTAGAAACGTTGGCCAGCGGGGCCTGCGAGCGCTGGGGTGTAGGGAACCGTCCTCCGCAGGCCCGCGCAACACCTCACAAGCTCGTACCCCCCCCCCCACTCTGCACTTCTCACTCCCTCGCGCTGCCTTCCTCCCTCAGGGCATGGACCCCGGGACTGCAGACGTCCCCGCGCAGGGTCCCCACAAAGATGCTCTGCGCTTGCTGTCGGGCATCAATGGCATCTTCCGGCCCGGCGTGCTCACGTGAGGAGGGCAGGGGGTGGTGGGTGTCTGTGTTTGTCGTGGGAGGGGAGAGTGTGCTGCGGTCCCCTCCCCATGGGCATCGTGGGCAGGTCGTCCCCTCTCATCGTCCCCGGCCGTCCTCTGTTCCTGGACCCCACCCACCACGCCACCTCCCCTGCGCGCAGGGCGCTGATGGGCGCGTCGGGCGCGGGCAAGACGACGCTGATGGACGTGCTGGCGGGGCGGAAGACGGGTGGCACGGTGACGGGCGAGGTGCACGTCAACGGCTACCCCAAGGTGCAGAAGACCTTCAATCGCATCTCCGGGTACGTGGAGCAGGAGGACATCCACCTGCCCCAGACCACGGTGGGCGAGGCGGTGCGCTTCAGCGCGGCGCTGCGCCTGCCGCGCGGTGTGTCCGCCGCCACGCGAGCCGCCTTTGTGACGGAGATGATGGACCTGGTGGAGCTGGACCGCATGGACGGCGCGCTGGTGGGCATCCTGGGCGAGAGCGGGCTGAGCATCCAGGCGCGTAAGCGCCTGACCATCGCGGTGGAGCTGGTGGCCAACCCCTCCATCATCTTCATGGACGAGCCGACCACGGGCCTGGACGCGCGCGCGGCCTCGGTGGTCATGGCCACCGTGCGCGCGGTGGTGAACACGGGGCGCACCGTGGTCTGCACCATCCACCAGCCCTCCATCGACATCTTCGAGGCCTTCGACGAGCTGCTCCTGCTCAAGCCGGGCGGGCGCTGCGTGTTTGCAGGGCCGGTGGGCCTGGAGAGCAGCCAGCTCATCGACTACTTCATGGCCACCCCGGGGGTAAAGCCCATCAAGGAGAGGTGAGTGATTCGGGGAGGAGGGGGGGAGCCTTTTGACGGGGGGAATCTTGGTGTGTGTGTGTGTGTGTGTGTGTGTGTTGGACGGGCAGGGTGATGTGTGCACGGCAAGGCCACCGAGGCAGGGGCCCCTGGGAGTGAGTGGGTGCCTGCGACCAGTGGCCCAGGCGCGCGCCCCGTCTGGCGTGCACTGTGGGGCGCGCCACGGGGCCCCCTGAGATGAGGGTGTCCCCATGTGTCACGCGGGCGACGTGCCCCACGCTCCGCGCTGCGCACCGCCTGCTGCCAGACACCCGTCTGAGGCCAGGCTCTGCGTGCTGGCCTTTCCCCTTCCTCGCCCGCGCCCCCTCTCAGCTGCCGAGTGCCGACCCCCATCTGAGCCCCCCCCATCCCACCCACCCGCCTGAAAAACCAGGTACAACCCTGCCAACTGGATGCTGGAGCAGACCAACCCGCACAACGAGTCGTTGCTGGGCGTAGACTTCAGCGAGGTGTTTGCCGGCTCCAAGCAGGCGCGGGAGAACGAGAAGCTGATCGAGGCCGCGCACGCGGTGGCCCCGGGCATGCCCGACCTGCAGTATGCCGACATGGAGGTGTCTGGGGCCTGGGTCCAGCTGGGCCACCTGCTGCGCCGCAACTTCGTCATGTACTGGCGCGCGCCGGACTACAACATCACGCGCTTCGGTGTGACCCTGCTGGTGGCCTTCGTCTTCGGGTCGCTGGCCTGGGAGCAGGGCGAGGCGCGGGACACCACCTCCGGCGTGCTGAACATTGCGGGCCTGCTCTTTGCCTCCACCCTCTTCATCGGCGTCAGCAACTGCATGTCGGTGCAGCCCATCGCGGAGTCGCAGCGCAGCGTCATGTACCGCGAGCGCGCGGCGGGGATGTACTCCGTCGCGCCCTACTCCGTGGCCCAGGTGGTGGTGGAGCTGCCCTACCTGGTGGTCCAGACCCTGTCCTACTCCGTCATCGTCTACTGGATGGTGGCCTTCATCGCCTCCGCCTCCAAGTTCTTCTACTTTGTCTTCATCTTCGGCCTGACCCTCGCCTACTTCACCGCCTACGGCCAAATGGTGAGCTGGGATGGCGGGG